AAAACCAAAGAACTTGTCACGACACGCAAAATAGGACCCCTTTGCTTACCTGTCGACCCCAACAACGGACGCGGCAACAACCAAGAAAGGTGTCGTTTACAGGTGGTAAACGGTCGCCTCCGTCATGCCAACAAACCTCAAGCTTTGACTGATAACGCAGAAAAGCTAGAGGTTACGACGGCTAGAAAAAGTAATGCCCTTTCGAAATGATAAGAAATACCGCTACTGGTAATGCACGATGGGTGGAGCACAGGCGGAGGCGGATCACAGAAAAGAGTTGCAATCCTAGTGTGCTGCAACTAGTGCACCTTAGGCCACAAAAAGCCTACATCTCGCTTTCCCCTGGCTCCTGACTACTGTTTCCTTTGGCATTTACTTCCATGCCACACACTTAGGGTAATCTCTCGCCTTAGGAACCTTAACCGCTGCAAGTATGTGTAGGCATTAACGTGGTGTGTCCATGCACTTATTAAATGTTTTAGAATTAGTCCGCTGCTGTATTTCGTGTGATGTTGCAGCAGTTTCAGCATCTTCCCGCAATTCTCCCGCTGAAGAAACATCAAGTATAGCTCGACATGACAGCCAAAAGATGCACCTGATAGAATTGAAAAAGCAGTTGTTCCTCTACGAAAAGAAAGTGAGTTGGAGCAATCTACTAAACTAGCAGAATTTATTGCTGTTTCATAGTTACTAACCACTTAATCTGATGAAATTCTATTTGAGTGCAACGAGAGCGAAGCTAAGCTGGAGGAGGTGAAAATCAGCAATGCAGATTTACTCGATCAGCTCACTAAAACGAAACTAGAATGGCAAAAGGACAAAGAAGCATACCAGCATAAGGCAAGGCAAGCCGAAAAGGTGGTTGAATTTTCACTACAACAGTTCTCTCTCACCGCTGCTCTATGTCATATAGAACAGAGTCCTTTATTTTAGCGAATATTTCCATCCTACTACTAGTTATCACCACAGACAATCCGCCGAGCTTCAGTGATAATATAATTATGGCTTTTATTTGCTAAGTTTGGCTCTCACCGCAGTACGCGATCCAGTGCATGCGATCTCTATCCATTCGTGTAACTGATTATCAGCTGCGTGTGCTGATAAGCTATGGTGAATACCAGTTGCAGCATGATATTGCACTTATTCTTCGTACACGCTCCGTCCACTGTGAGTGGTGCTTGGCTTCATTCGCATCATGTTGTACATTGCGCTCCTACACTCCTTGCTTTACCAGTGGCCGAGTTCAAATTTTCGAAACTTTTGTTTGGAGGCAGAAGTTCCAGAAATTCGTTGAATATTGCTTTTTGCCTCAATGGAGGAAAAAGGGGGCAGATCAGCTATTAGGTTCAGCTGTGGTGAATATCAGTTGAAGCACGTTGTGGCACTCATTCCGCACTCGCACTCATCCTTTGGTTATGCGCGCTCCATCCACTGTGAAGGGTCCCAGCTTCGTTCATATGTGTGCTCTACACAGCGCTCCTGTACTATACTTGCTCTCTCAGAGGCCATGTGTAGTAAAAGCTCGCCTTTGCAGTGCTCCTCACTGGCTACGCGGACATTTAAATGTCATACAGTTTATTGCCTTGAACTTCTTCTATTGGGTTGCCAGGTGGTTTCGTCGATCTCGACTATTAAGTGAATCCCGCAGTAGTTAGACCAACCTCAGGAGTGATCACCGAAGCCCAGAATGTTCTCGTCTATCGTGTATTGTGTTCTCGTCTTGAAGCAGATCTCCCGAGTATCGCAGCTCGACCTGAATATACAGATGTGGTACAGGCGAAAACCCAGCAGAATGAAGAGGAAGTTACCCACCTACGAAGTTATACGACCTTGGGGTGATGACCGACTCTTGACTGTAGGCGCGAGCTTATCTGCGGAGGATCGGAGCCGCTGCGGGGACAGACACGTAGTGAGCGGAGACGTGTAGCCGATCACAGCGATCGTCGACGGGTATTGATAGAAGAAGCTGCCAAGAATTAGGTCGAGAGGAGTCTAGTCGAGCTCCGAAGAATCTGATGGATACAGACCTGTCGCAATGAAATCTGCGAAATCTGTCCAGGGTAAGTATGCGAAGCTCTTTATTAGCCGCCATGATATGCTGCCCCACTTAATCTGTAAAACTCTATGAATTTAAACGATTACGAGTGCCCGAAGATCCTTGGTGCTTGTTTTGAGAACTAAACTTTCCCAAGGATATTGCTAAGAGTAAAAGTATGTAAACATGGTTAATGCTTGCCTGCATCTATGAAATTAGTCGCATTTGGCGACACCATGTTCAAAGTTCGGGAACTTTCTGCTTGGAGGCAGGAAGTTCCAGAAATTTGTTGAATATTGCTTTTCGCTTGATTTAAATAAAAGAAAATGGGGTTGAGCAGCTATTAGTTCAAGCTATGGTGAAAATCAGTTAAAGCATGTCATCGCACTCATCTTTGCACTCGCACTCATATCTTTTGGCAATACACGCTCCGTCCACTGTGAGCGTCTGCCTTATCCTGTAGCGCGTTCATATGTGCGATATGTAGGTCGCAAACGAAAGTCCTGCAGCTCTTGTTACAAAACACATGGCAAATCGGCAGCATATCTACCTGCGAGGGAAATGTCTACCATACTATATAGGAAATTTGAGATTTACCATATTTCCTCGAGTCTTGCGCCTGTCTGCACGCTTTTTGAAGCCTGGAAAAATGCCAAATGTTTCGACCCATGTACGCCACTGCCTTCTTTACGAATTTCGTCTGGGACACACAGCCAGCGAAGCCTGCCGGAATATATGCTCTGCGGAAGGAGAAGGAGTGGTGAGTGAGAGACCTGCCAAGGTTTGTTTCCGAAGGTTCCGCGAAGGGGACAACGCAGCTAGAATCTTTAGTCTGACTGCGGTCGCGAGCTCGTGGAAGTCCAGTCTGGGATGGTGTGGTGCGTCGGCGTTCGGAGCTACAACTCCAAAACATCACGCATGCAAACTCCAAGGAGCTGACAAAGGAGATTCAGTGCTTTGACATGGCCATGGGTCGTGCCGTCTATGGAAAACTCGGATAAATGTTGTCGATGGACCCAGGAGCTGACAAAGACAGGGCAGAGAAAAGGCGTGACGATGTGGTTGTGTGCGGTGTGGGCGGGTATGCAGAGATGTTCTTGCCAAGGAGCCGCCGTTACTGAGTGGTGTGTGTGTGTGCGGGTTGGATTAGAGTGTGAGTGTGTACGTTAAGGAGATGAAAGGTGGGGGCTCTAACCAGGAGAAGACAGTGAATGGATGCGAACCAGAAGCCAGAGCCTGTTCCAAAGCAGGAGGTTCATCCCAAGAAAGTTCCTCTGTCAGTTTGGTGGAGTGTTCGGGGAACACGTCATTACGAGATGCCAGACAATACCACCGTCGACGCTGAGGTGTACTGCTCACAACCACGAAGGCTCGCAGTTGAAGTCGCGAAACTTCGCCCTGAAGCTGGACGAAGTTTTCTTCTTCATGACAACGCGACCCATGTTGCAAGGGTAACCCAGGACACATTGGCGGAACTTGGATCTGCGGTTTACCCCATCCTCCATATTCGCCAGGTCTTGCACCTACGGATTACCACCTGTTCCGTTCCCTGGCTCACTTCTTCAAAGGATAAAAAGTACGACAACTGTCAACAGTTGGAAAGCGGACATGGGCACTTCTTCGACTCGAAACCTGCCGAATTTTGGAAGGAGAGGCATTTGTTCCCTTGTCGACCGATGGCGGACTGTTGTAGGTACTTGTGGGAATTATTATTCGGAATAAAGTTCAATTTCAAAGAAAAATAAGTTTTTGAAATTGAGGGTCGAATCCGCATTTACTTTCGTTGCGACCTAGATTGCTCCACATAAACGCCAACCGAAGAGCTGGAAATAATTCACTCCAGATGAGGGGAAATTGTTACGGAGTGGACCGTGAGCGAACACTCGATCTGTTTTTGATTGTTCAGGGAGCACACAGAGCAACGTTGCAGGTTCCTCTTTCCAACAGATAATGTGGTGGCTGGCTCCTCGTTGGCTCCACTTGGTAGGTCGCTTGTGGATAGCTGAGTCGGTTCCAAGGAAAACGACGTCTTGCTAAACGTGCCTCATGGAATTCCATTACATGTGAATTATTGGCCAGTTGTAGCTCTCACCGCCAGTTTCCGTCTCGAGCTTTAAGGTCATCGGTTGGCATGCATTACGGGTTACAGACTTACTGATCAGAGCTCCAATTCTTCGAGGCCGGATCAACAGCTTGATTCATTAACCTTCCACCATGAAGATTTTCTAGTGTACTGATCATATTATGACATTCATTCGATTATTTGTCCACAAATTTTTCCCCCGACTTTTCAATAAATATTGGGTTGATGCATAATTATTGCGGATTTTTTTCGCGCCTTCTTTTTTCGAAAAGATTGGCGTTTTGTTTATTATTTTTCATGAAAATATTCTTCTCTCTTTCATTAACAGAAATGCTTATCGAAAATCATCTTCATATTCGCCACATATGCTCTACCACTTCGAGAAAGGTTGGAAGGCGGCAGAGTCATTTCGCGATCTCAACGAACTTTTCGGCGAGGGAACAATCAGCAAAAGCCAATTTGAAAGATGGTTCAAGAGTTCAAAACGCGTATTTACCGACCAAAGCTCCTACAGACTACCACTTCAATCAGTCGTTGAAAAACTGGCAAACGAACAAAATTTACGACGAGCTGGATGACTTGGTGGCCGATGTTAGAGCGTGGATCGTCTCCAAGAATCGTGACTTCTTCACCGTGGAATCGACCGACTGCCAAGCAAATGGGAAGCATTCTTGAAGGATGGTGACTACGCTCCGGAATAATCTTTTAACATGTTTTTGTTGAATATTTTTTATCGTTTTCGCTGAATAAAATTTGTTGAAAAAATCCGCAATAATTATGCATCAACCCAATACTTGCATGGAAGTCACTGATCGCTTTCATCACACATGTAGAGCCAATCTGGACGCGTCAGCCCACAGACAAAAATGCCTCGATGAATGGAACCATATCTCGACACCTCGGTCTTTTTCGTTGTTCAAAGAGTTGCTTGGAAAAAAAAGAATTACCTTGACGTGGACGTGGCATTTGTTGAAGGACTTGATAGGATGTCGTAATATTCAGTTTAAGGAAATATCGTAAAGGTAAACGATTCTGAAGAGTGCGGTGTTGGTGGAATACACACGAGATTTAAACCAAGGGGATGCATACAGTATCTATGACCTCAAGAGATTTAGATGTTTTAGATTCGTATTGTTGAAATGGATGCTCTGCAGCAAAAGTTTTCCAGTCGAATGCGAATTATGGAGGACACTAACAAATCTCTTCATTCTCAGGTGAATTTCAAGCTATTGTAGAAACAGGCGTTTAATTTGCATTAAATGAAGTTTCAGCTTGTTCTCGCTCGTCGTGAAAGAGACACTCAGAAAGAAGCGCTGGTGTCGTTCGAACGCAAGCTGATGGAAGATCGGAAGGAAAATGATCTGCGTGATAAGGAGATATCAGACGCTCGTGAGAAAATCGAATCCATGGTAAGTCTATGCTCTCAAATCCGAATACACGTTTGACATACAGGGGTGGCCAAAAAAAGACACTCTGCCCATAGCGCACATCATCGAAGCTTTTCTTCGCACGGGGTAACGCTGTTGGTAACATTTGCACGGCAGAATATTCTATAAATATCTCTCCATAAGCGGAAGCAGGCCCTCCTCCACTGCGCTTACCGTCTCTAGAAATATGGCGTCATCTGCCATCATACCACGCTCAAGGAGACCTACCAAAAATGCTCTAGCCTGATGCAGCTGCGATGAACTCTTTCAATAATTTTTACGTGAGAATTTGCTGTCATCAGGCCGAACTACAATACCGCTACTAATTTTTGTTCAATCGACGGAAATGCGACGCAGTCAGTCCGTCGCAACCGTCGCCTCGCCATAACTCGTGAACAAATGGATTAGGTCATTCGAAAGTTATACCACTGGATAGCTCTGCTCACGAAGAATCCAACGGTTCAGAGGACTATTGAGTTCCTCTGAATTTTCGCTTCATTTCATGAAATTTATCAAATTACCTGAGGCTGACTCATTAGCGAGCGTCGTATAACAGAGGAGACTATATTAATAGTACTATTTAGCGAGTAATAAAGTTATTATATTACTCCTATGTAAAGTGAAAAAGAGACTGTTGTGTTCTTCAGATGGTTCTCGTCATTTTGATACCGAATTCATCCCAGGTGGGTCAGCTTTGTTGAATGTCATTTTTACACGGAAAAGCTCCTTTGAACCAAGTATAGTAGAAACTAATAGGATCTGAGCCTTGTCACTTAACTGTTCCTTTTCTACAGAGCTCACCCTATTGACGAGAAGTTTTTGAAGTTCCTACCTAGCACCGGCTGTCAATTTCGAGGCCTTGAATCAGAGCGAAATTCACATTTTTTCATGGAAAGGAAACAGTACAAAAAGTATACCGCTGAAATCCTCGGGAAAAATGCTTTACACTGATGTGAATTTCAAGTCACAAAGTTTTCATGATTTTTCAAGTTTCATCGCCGGCCATCTCTCCTGCACTAGCATTACCTAATTAGGCTGTTGCTGTGAGGCATATATTGGGCTACCATTGATAAAGCGCGGCATCCAAATGCGACACGGCGTAATGATATGACCTCCCAACAGAAACGCGGCGCACAATATCTATTGTGAATTGGCTAAGTTCGATGATTTGATGTTCATTAAAAATAACACAGTCTAACATTCTCTCGTTGAGGTGCGACAAAAGCCCTCCGGTAATTGAGAGAGATCTGGAGGTCAGCGGCTCGGCGAGACGCCTAATTAGGTAGAATGGTTTAGTGCAGGAGAGATGGCGGCGATGAAACTCGAAAAAGCATGAAATTTGTGACTTGAAATTCATATCAGTGTAAAGCATTTTTCCCGAGGATTTCAGCGGTATACTTTTTGTACTGTTTTCCTTTCCATGAAAAAATGTGAATTTCGCTCTGATTCAAGGCCTCGAAATTGACAGCCGGTGCTAGGTAGGAACTTCAAAAACTTCTCGTCAATAGGGTGAGCTCTGTAGAAAAGGAACATCAAGTGACAAGGCTCAGATCCTATTAGTTTCTACTATACTTTGGTTCAAAGAAGCTTTTCCGTGTAAAAATGACATTCAACAAAGCTGACCCACCTGGGATGAATTCGGTATCAAAATGACGAGCACCATCTGAAGAACACAACAGTCTCTTTTTTCACTTTACATAGGAGTAATATAATAACTTTATTACTTGCTAAATACTACTATTTATATCTGTTCCCCTCTGGTTATAATTATAGCGAGCGACGCTCGCTAATGAGTCAGCCTCAGGTAATTTGATAAATTTCATGAAAATGAAGCGTTAAATTCAGAGGAACTCAATAGTCCTCTAAACCGTTGGATTCTTCGTGAGCAGAGCTATCCAGTGGTATAACTTTCGAATGACCTAATCCATTTGTTCACGAGTTATGGCGAGGCGACGGTTGCGACGGACTGACTGCGTCGCATTCCGTCGATTGAACAAAAATTAGTAGCGGTATTGTAGTCTGTATGCTGACCAATTCTACTTTTTCTGAGTAGCCTTCAGTAACTCAGGTAGTGGCCCATTATTTATTAGAGGATCAGCTCGAGCTGTCGACGGCAAGTGTGAAACGAAATGAAAGAAAGATAGCAAGCAAGTAACATTACAAAGACTACTGAGAGCTTCCTACTGATAGCGTATTGACAGTCCCTTTGCTTCACAGCATCCAACCGGAAAAAAAGTAGCCGTATCTATACGCAAAGGTTGATTGCAATAAATGAGGGTTTTTTTTGATGATCGAAATAACAATAATCTCACCGTACTAATAAATATGCTCTCCATTCAAGCAAAAAGCCCTCTCGGTCGTCGAAGCTGAGTTGGAACGTGCGAACACGGATTTAAGGATCACAAAGGAAGCCAGGAAAGCCGACCAAATTCTGTGGAAAATTGACAGAGCTCGTGTCAAAACACCACCAAAACCCGTTAGTGTTTTTTCATGCATTTCTGGAATAATCTGAAAGAATTAATCGCGATTGGTCAATACGATCATATTGTGAGTTTAAAGCCACGAGTCGGGATTAGGTCCCAAGAGCCAGTCCCTTCTAGAGTGAGAAAGAGGGGTCCCAAGGGCAGGAGGCACGACACTGTCGCGACTCAAAAGTGCGAGGCAACGGCGCTAAGGCCTTGCCTTGTGTGCTGCCGTGCTGCCATCCTTATCAACCACGGCATACGTGGTCTCTGCGCCCTCTCGCGTACGACGTACTATCTCGCGTTTCCCTCTCCTCGCAGCGCTGTGTCTCTCCGTCGTACCACGGCCGGCCTCCTAAGGGAAATTTAGTGTTTTCTATGGTGCTTTTTGCTTTTTCTCCTCACTAATGTTCCTCATTGCACCCTTGCCTAATTTTCGAACAAAATAACGCATCAATTCAATCCTGACTCGTGCCTTTAAGTGTTGAAAATGAATGTAGCATATGAATGAAACGCAAGCGTGGCGCTAGAAGCCGCAGAGTTTGTGAAGGATTCTGTGTATGAAAGCTATAGATTCATCTCACAGGAAGAAACGAAAAATGGTCCGACGAAGATTTGCGAGCCATTGAGCAGCTACAGTCACAATTCCGCGACTGTGAACGATTCTACATGAAGGAAACGGAAAGGCTTAATGAAACACTGAGGACAATGTCAAAGGAGCTGCAAAAACAGAGAAATTCTCACGATAAAATCATCACCGAGGTACGTATCGCTCCTCAGTTACAATCCCCTTGTTTCTGCTCACAATCAAGAAGAAATTATTATACTCACTTGTTTAGTGATTGTGTTAAGTAATTTTTAGCATTTTCTGAATTTATAGCTGCGCGAGCAAGTCCGAATTTTGGAAATTGAACAGAAGAATCTGACACAGAAGAAGGATACACAAGTGACCGCGAGTGAGAAGTTAGAAGCTGGAACTGCACGGTTAGAGCAAGTCGTGCATTTGAATGAACTACAACGTTTGACGAGGAAGTACAGACTAAGCAGCATTATTGACCAGGTAAATAATTCAATGCAAACAGTCACTGCTACCCTTACAAACTAAGCATACCACTAAAATAGATGGCAATGATTCAAAGGCAGAGTTTACGATGAAAAGACAGACCACTGGAAATCAAGCTCAAAATGATAAGTGGTGCAAGGATGAAGAAAAAATTAAGGAAAATGACCTTGAACCCGTCAACTAGGAACTTTTCCTGCCCGTT